GAAGATCTGGATCCTTTGCCGGCTCCTCTTGTCCACTGTGGCTGTTAGCTCCACAAAAACTGAGCCATCTTCAATCCACCATTACTCCCCCGGAAGTCCCACCCCTTTAATATTCTTAAAATATTATCTTTAATCTCAAAAATATACCAATTAATTCCTAAAGCAAACATCATTTTCCCCATATTCTAAACACTTCCACTTAAAGCTTTCCCCGTCCAGACCTTGTTCTTTATTCTATATTTTTAATTATATAGTATGTATTCTTTAAAAATCAATATGCTTTTTAAAATCTCTTGTTTTCAATAATCCATCCATTTACAAACACAGAGAAAATAGTAGACATCACTTGCAATATGAATTGACAAATAAGAAACTTAAAATTCAACATGCATGTCAAACTGATAAATATCCTCAGAAGTTTTGAAGTATAATACACATACAAAAAAATCCCCAATTATTTGAGTTCCAGAAGGGGGCAGCAATGCCTAGAAAACTAATGATAGAACAGACATGCCCTGATTCTCTTTCAATTTAGTTTAGCTGGTCTAGAAAATTGGAACAGGAGATTAGAGGAGGTAAAATTTGAAACTTCTAAAGGTAGCTATGCATAGTAGTCTGTTAAGGTGTAATTGTATACAAGTTAAGTTACTGATAGCTTTGCTAGTGTAACTAAAAGCAATAGATAAATATTAATAGGCCAAGATTCAGCTGGAATTAAGCATTTTCAATTATTTCAGTGGAAGAAGCTTAAGCAATTACTAAATATTATATGTTAGACACCGAGGGGTAGCAAATCCAATATTTCCTGTATATTTACATTTATCTAAAATGTTTTAAGCACCTGTTAAAGGCAGAAATTATTGCAAAATAAATTCATTGTACTTTAAAAATATGCAGTTAATAAAAACAGATAACATTCACTCCAGACATTAAAATTTCCTATGTAGCCAGTATTAAAAATCAATCTGAGTACTTAGGCTATCAAGGAAAGTGTAACTTCAGCTAAGAATAATTGTAAGTTTCCATCCAGAATTCTGTTTCCTAACCATTAATACCTCTGTCTAACACTTAAGCCCAAAATGGAGTGACTCCACTCAGCAATTCCATATAGATCTTCAAAAAACATAGGGAGTAAGAGGGAACCATGCAGCACTGCATCAGAAGTCCCCCGGCATCAGTCTTATGAAACCAGTTACCTAAAGATGAGTAGAGCTACCACCATCACCACCAAAACTCTCGCTTAGAAAAACATACCTAAGATCAGATGAAATAATTAGTTCAGAAGACGCCATGGTCAGTCATACTGAAAACAACTGAGCCCAGAAAATCTAATAGGAACAAGCTGCCCAAATCCATCTTCCTCAAAGTACATCATCTACCCAGATAACAAAAGTTGTTTCCATCCCATAACCAGGAGTGAAGCCTAATTGGAGTGAACCTAAATAATCAGCAATATCTGAATCAATATCACCCTCTCCAATACTGTTTAATCTTTTTGGCTTATGTTGTTCTTTTCGATTCTCTTTTATTTTCTATATTTTGGATTATTATCCAGGCCTTAGAGCTTTGAGGTGGTATGATAGACTTTAAAATCACTGATTAATTTTAAAGCACCACTCCTTTGATAATTTATGATGAGGCAGAGGTAGAGACAACTAACATGTTGAGTGAAATGCTGAGCCATATAAATTAATGGTAAACGTGTTCTCCTTTTGAAAGTTGGAGATCCTTATTTAGTTTCATGTTACAATCAATGGGATGCCAATCAGTGACTGGATTCATACCATGCAAGTAATTATGTGGTTTGGTTGGTTGTAGCTTTGCACAATGTGTGAATGTATCACTGTGGTTTTCAAGCAGTGGTTTATGCTTGAGCTGTGTCCTGCCTTTATATTCCAGCAAGTATTCAAGGTGGCTAACAAAAAAAAAAAAAAACCAATTAAAAAGATTCTCAATCTCAACCTCCTTAGATGAAATGAAGTATAAACCAGGCCTTTATGGCTTGTTCAGCAAACAGCAGCTAAACAAATTATGGCTTAGTGTGATATATAAACTCAGCAAATGTTTTATGTCAATCCCAAGAGTTTTTTAAATAAAATTCCATTGAAGGGTAGACATATTTGTAGCTTTTGTAAAGTTAGAGGACAATTATGGTGATAGATAGTGTTTACCTGTCTGATGTAATAAACTCCATTGGAAAGATAGGTTCTGGATTCATAAACAGAATATGCATGTTTTGGCTAATGTAACATAAACAACTGAAGCTTCAGTTACGTGCATATCTTGTTTGGAAATGCTCCTACCATGTATTCTGGCTTATAACTGATTTTTAAAAAACCTAATGTACAGTGGTACCTCTACTTACGAACTTAATCCGTTCCGTGACTCTGATCGCAAGTTGAGTTGTCTTGTTTGGAAATGCTCCTACCATGTATTCTGGCTTATAACTGATTTTTAAAAAACCTAATGTACAGTGGTACCTCTACTTACGAACTTAATCCGTTCCGTGACTCTGATCGCAAGTTGAGTTGGTCGCAAGTCGAAATAAATTTTCCCATAAGGTTGAATGTAATTACCGTTAATCCCTTTCGGCGTCCGTGGACCACGCGTCAGGGATGGAAAAACGGCCACTGACCACACGGCAGGGCGGAAAAATGGCGCGGACCACGTGTCAAGGGCAGGAAAATGGCCACGGACCACGTGGAATGGGCGGAAAATGGCCGCGGACCACGTGGAACGGGTGGAAAAATTACCGCGGACCACGTGGCACGGGCGGAAAATGGCCGCGGACCATGTGGTAGGGCGGAAAAACACCGCGGACCACGTGGAACGGGTGGAAAATGGCCGCGGATCCGGTTTGTAAGTCGATGCGAGTTCGTAAGTAGAGGTAAATTTTTGGGGCCGGAGCTGATCGTATCTCGAAAAATTAGTAAGTAGGGGCGTTCGTAAGTAGAGGTACCACTGTACTTGTAATTAATTGCAATTTAATACTGTATATTCAAATTCTCTTGAATATCGTTATGTTCTTTGTGTGAAATATGGGTATCATGTATTTCTTACTGAAATATAGCTTCCTTTATGAGGAGAAGCCACATGTTTCCTACACTCAAACGTGCGTGAGGGAAACCTTATTCCATTACAAAAACTGCCCTGTTCATTGACCAACATTTCACAGTCATAAGCCTATTTGGTAGCTTTTATGTCTAGAACCTCTTCTGTGTCACTGTGTTTTCCAGTTATAGTTTCCAGTTAAGTACTTTCTGGATAACTATTACCTCTAAAACTGTTTGGTTTTGTTCTGTCTTTCCTTTAAGCTGCGCTTCTTCCTGATCACTAACTTTTATTGTAGCAGTTCACTGCCATCATGTGTCATGTACCACCTCTCTTGTGGATGTCCTTTTCTTACTATCTTTTCCTTCAAAATTAAAGTGAAATCCCATTAATTCTGGGAGGTTTTTTAAAGGATCTACTTTTCTTGCTGCAACCACCAACCCCCTTTGTGGTTTACAAATCCTCCTTTAATCTTCTGAGATAATATGTCTAGATAGAACATGGCAAACATTTAGGATTGTACAGTTACTTTTTTAATGTTTCAAAAAAGAAATTATTTTTTATTAAATAACTTAAAATGGGCTATAAAGATGTTGATTTAATATTACAGTGTATCTATAATCTGTCAATATTTACCTTCCCCGGCACTATTATATTCATAACCCTGTTGTATGACACATAGAAGTTTCCCTAGGCATGGGCTCTGAGCTTCTTCACACCTGTTCTTCCACTTAGACCTCCCAAATCCCTCTTGCCTCAGTTCCTCCTGCCTCCAAATTGGGAGGGTGTACCCTGCAATACTTTGCTTTGATAGACAGTTCCAGTCATCACATATCCACCCTATTTACCCAAGCTTAGTATCATTCACAATTGGATGATATGTCTAAGCCTTGAAAGTAGCTATTTGTTTCTTTTAAAACTTACCAAGTTCCACCACCAATCATCATAGTTGATAGTAATAATTTTCAATGTTAGTAATAAATCTCCCTTTGTATCAAAATCTGATTTAGCTAGGAATATTGTTTTTGTTCTCTGGGTTTACAAGTATTTCTTTTCTCCCTATAGAGGCCAAGCCATCACCTGAAATTGTTGAAGAAACATATGACATTTCTACCTACAAGAACCTGCAGCATCATGAATATCAACCATTCACTTTTGTGGATTTTGATGTTTTGTTGTCAAAATTCAGGCTGCCTCAGCCATCTTCTGGGAGGTTATCTCCAAGACACTGAATTAATTGTGGAAACCAAATAAATTCTGGCAAAGTATTATGCTTGTGAGTGTTATAAATTAATTTTAGCATTGACTTCTCTTGCTAATATGAACTCGAAATAATTGCAGTTATTGCTGATTGTATGCCAAATTAGTACTAATATTTAATTATAACTTGATAATTCTCCCAGTTTGTGCTACTGTGTAGTGTCATAGCACACTGGTACTAAATATTATCTATATAATTCTAGTTTATAAAATTTATGCAGAGTACAAATTAGTTGGTATTGAATGGTGATGAGGTATTTTTAATCAGATTATAGTGTGTGTATTATTCTTACTAAAGATGCAGTTTCAGGGTTAGGGTTGGTGCTACTTGCTGAAAAATGTTATTTTCACCTGAAGTAATACAGTGGGGCAAAAAAGTATTTAGTCAGCCACCAATTGTGCAAGTTCTCCCAC